AGTGTCTCACGAACAGTATTGTCTCATGTATAGTGTCTCACGTGTAATGTCTCACCAACTGTTGTGTCTCACGTGTAGTGTCTCACCAAGAGTAGTGTCTCACGTGTAGTGTCTCACCAAGAGTAGTGTCTCATGTGTAGTGTCTCACCAACTGTAGTGTCTCACGTGTAGTGTCTCACCAAGAGTAGTGTCTCACGTATAGTGTCTAACCAATAGTAGTGTCTCACGAGTAGTGTCTCACCAACAGTAATGTCTCACGAATATTGTCTCGCCAACTGTAGTGTCTCACATGTTGTGTCTCACCAAGAGTAGTGTCTCACGTGTAGTGTCTCACCAACTTTAGTGTCACACGTGTAGTGCCTCACAAAGTGTAGTGTCTCACGTGTAGTGTGTCACCAACTGTAGTGTCTCACGTGTAGTGTCTCATGAAGAGTTGTGTCTCACGCGTAGTGTCTCACCAAGAGAAGTGTCTCACGTGTAGTGTCTCACCAACATTAGTGCCTCAGGTGTACTGTCTCACCAACAGTAGTGCCTCATGTGTAGTGTCCCACCAAGAATAGTGTCTCACGTGTAGTGTCTCACCAACAGTTGAGTCTCACGTGCAGTGTCTCACCAACAGTAGTGTCTCACGTGTAGTGTCTCACCAACTTTAGTGTCTCACGCGTTGTGTCTCACCAACTGTAGTGTCTCACGCGTAGTGTCTCATCAAGAGTAGTGTCTCACGTGTAGTTTCTCACCAACAATAGTGTCTCACGTTTAGTGTCTCACGAACAGTAGTGTCTCACGTATAGTGTCTCACATGTAGTGTCTCACCAACAGGACTGTCTCGCATGTAGTGTCTCACCAACTGTAGTGTCTCACGTGTAGTGTCTCACCAAGAGTATTGTCTCACGTGTAGTGTCTCACCAACTGTAGTGTCTCACGTGTCGTATCTCACCAACAGTAGTGTCTCACGTGTAGTGTCTCACCAACAGTAGTGTCTCACGTGTAGTGTCTCACCAACTGTAATGTCTCACGCGTTGTGTCTCACCAAGAGTAGTGTCTCATGTGTAGTGTCTCACCAACAGTAGTGTCTCACGTGTAGTGTCTCACCAACTGTAGTGTCTCACATGTAGTGTCTCACCAACAGGACTGTCTCGCTGCGGTAGTGTCTCTCACCAACAGTAGTGTCTCACGTGTGT